TTTGTGTGTGTGTGTAGCAGGTGTTATTCGTAGAGAGGAAATGCAGAAGTGAGAGTTTATTCTAGTTTTCAATCTTCTGCTAGTTGTGTATATGATTGTGTGTGTGAGTGTGTGAGTGTGTGTGTGTGTGTGTGTGTGTGTGTGTGTGTGTGTGTGTGTGTGTGTGTGTGTGTGTGTGTGTGTGTGTGTGTGTGTGTGAGTGTTTGTATAAAATATCAGCAGTCAGATGTCGTGTTTTATCAGCTGAAAGAGTCCAACATTCACTGATGTTGAGCTGTAGATGGATGGGAAACTCACACAGCAGATGTATTCAGACCACATCCAGACGTGCTCACAGATGGTTTTCAGCGCGAAACAAACCTCAGCAAACATGCGAACAGTTGATGTGTGCAGCTCCACAGTAGAGCTTTATATGTAGTCTAGAGTCCATCCAAAATACAAGTATTTGTAATTAGACTGATTTATTAAATTCTCGTAATCAGATTACAGTTACTTTTATTGGACTACATTATTGCATATTATTTACACAATGGCTGTACATGTTTCACAGTTCATTCATTCTCTTAAATCTGACGTTTATGTTTACAATGTTTTTATAGTTTGCTGTTTTTTTATTAATACTTCATCTGCACTTTGTGTTTTTACGTATTTGATATTTTAAGTTGCAGCTGATATTTCATGGTTTTCAATATTGTTTTTTGCAAGTTTGCTTTTTTCTCGATATATGTGATGTCAAATAAGGCTTTTTCATAAAAGTAATCTAATAGTAATCAGATTACATTAACATAAATGTGTATAAAGTAATTTAAAAGTAATCCAACAGTAGTCAGATTACATTAGAATAAATGTGTAATAGGCAGTTCATTCTGCTGTGGCAACCCCTGATTAATAAAGGAACTAGCTGAAAAGAAAATTAATGAATGAATAAATGTGTAATAAATGTAATGTAAATGTAATCCAAAAGTTGTCAAATTGCATTAATATATATTTGTAATAAGGTAATCTAAAAGTAATCCAAAAGAAATCTGATTTCATTATTATAAACGTGATAAAAGTAATCTAAAAGTAATCTGAAAGAAATCTGATTACATTATTATAATTATTATAAAAGTAATCTAAAAGTAATCTGAAACCAATATGATTACATTATTATAAACGTGAGAAAATTAATCTAAAAGTAATCTGATTGCGTTATTATAAACATGTGATAAAAGTAATCTGAAAGTAATCCGAAAGAAATATGATTACATTATTATAAACATGATAAAAGTAATCTGAAAGAAATCTGATTACATTATTATAATTATTATAAAAGTAATCTAAAAGTAATCTGAAACCAATATGATTACATTATTATAAACGTGATAAAAGTAATCTAAAAGTAATCTGAAAGAAATCTGATTACATTATTATAATTATTATAAAAGTAATCTAAAAGTAATCTGAAACCAATATGATTACATTATTATAAACGTGAGAAAATTAATCTAAAAGTAATCTGATTGCGTTATTATAAACATGTGATAAAAGTAATCTGAAAGTAATCCGAAAGAAATATGATTACATTATTATAAACATGATAAAAGTAATCTGAAAGAAATCTGATTACATTATTATAATTATTATAAAAGTAATCTAAAAGTAATCTGAAACCAATATGATTACATTATTATAAACGTGATAAAAGTAATCTAAAAGTAATCTGAAAGAAATCTGATTACATTATTATAATTATTATAAAAGTAATCTAAAAGTAATCTGAAACCAATATGATTACATTATTATAAACGTGATAAAAGTAATCTAAAAGTAATCTAATTGCGCTATTATAAACATGGGATAAAAGTAATCTGAAAGTAATCCGAAAGAAATCAGATTATAATACTATAAATGTGTAATAAAAGTAATCTAAATGTAGTCAGATTACATTATCATAAATGTGTAGTAAAAGTAATCTAAGTGTAATAAAAAATAAGTGAGTTTCAATTAGCATAAATGTGTAATCAATTTAACCTAAATGTAATCCAAAAGTATTCAGATTATATTTCCTTAAATGTGTAATAAATGTAATGTAAATGTAATCCAAATTTAGTGATATCATATTAGCGTAAATATGTAATAAATGTAATCCAAAAGGAGTCAGATTACATTAACATAAATGTGTAGTAAAGCAATCTAAAGGAATCCAAAAGTAGTGAGATTATATTATCATAAATGTAATGTAAATGTAACCCAAATGTAGTTAGATTCTATTAACATAAACATGCAATGATTGTAAATTAAAAGTAATCCGAATGTAGTATGATTACATTACCCCAAATGCACAATAAAAGTAATTTATAAATATTCCAAACAAAGTCAGATTACATTACCATAAATTTGTTGTAAAATAATCTAAAAGTAATCCGAATGTAGTTAGATTATATTAGCATAAATCTGTAATAAAAGTAATTAATTGTAATCTAAAAGTAGTCAAATGACATTACTATAAATGTGTAATCAAAGTAATCTAAAAGAAATCCAAAAGTAGCCAGATTACAATAGCATAAATGTGTAATAAAAGTAATCTAAATGTAACCCAATAGTACTGAGATTTTATTAGCATAAATGTGTAATAAATGTAATGTAAATGTAACCCAAATGTAGCTATATTACATTACCCTAAATATATAATAAAAGTAATCTAACAGTAATCCAATAATAGTGAGATTATTATATTAACATAAGTGTTTATAAATGTAATTTAATGGTAATCCAAATTTAGTGAGATGATATTAGCATAAATGTGTAATGCAATCTAAAAGTAATGCAAAAAATCTGATAACATTACTATAAATATGTAATAAATGTAATCTAAAAGTAATACGAATGTAGTTTGATTATATTAGCATACATGTGTTATAAAAATAATCTCATTGTAATCCAAAAGTAGTCAGATTACTTCAGCATAAATGTGTAATAAAAGTAATCTAAATGTAATCTGAAATAAGACACATTACTATAAATGTGTAATAAAAGGAATGTAAATGTAATCCAATAATAGATTACATTACGCTAAATGTGCAATAAATGTGCAATAAATGTAATCCAAAGTAATACGATTATTTTAGCATTAATGTGGAATAAAAGTAATCTAGTGGCAATCCAAAAGTAGTCAGTTACATTAGCATTATTGGGTAAAATGTATGTAAATATAATCTAGAGTAGTCAGATTACATTACCATAAGTGTGTAATGAAAGTAATCTGAAAGTACAACCATGCGTATGTAATCCAACAGACTATATTACCGACTGCACATTCTATATATGTCATTTGTAATCAGTAACTCATTACAGTTGAAAAATAATCCACCCAATCTCTTAGTAAATCCTAAACTGATCATCGTTGTTTGTGTGTGTGTGTGTGTGTGTTTGTTTGATGAAGTGTCTCATCACACACACTGACCTGTTTACTGATGCGCTCATGGGTGTGTAGGAGTGTTTGTGTGTGTCAGAGCAGGAACGCAACTCTCCAACCAACTTTCCACACGCCGAGCGTCTGTTTTTCTTCCAGCACGTGTTTATTCTCACACAGACGCTGCGCTCTCGCCTTCTGTCTCGAAAAAGCAGAAGTTGTGGAAGTTATTTTTGGATCCACAGATATTTTACAGCCTTTTATCGCTGATTGTTTTATCCCGGAATGCTCAGGTTCATATTCAGAAACACAGCTTCATGTTGTTTATATTTCTGTCAGATCTACAATAGCACACATATGAGCCCGAATGAGCAAACCATCACTTTACAAACTAATTCATCACTAAATACATCATTCAAATTATATTTAAACTACTGTCCTTATTATCATGTCTGACAGGTCATTTATTTACCTAATAAGAATGTATTTACATGCAGCTACATGACCCAATACTGCTTAAAATCCTTATAAATCTAATATTGTGCATATAGAAACTAGAAATAAAGCTCTTTCATTTCTTTGAATTTGAGTCTTACATGGGGTTTAGCTTTATTAAGCTGCATTATAATAACACACATTAAAATACTTTATTAAAAAAACACTACTCTGCAATGAGAGAAAAGGTAAACACTATATTTAAAACATCACACATTTCAAACCTGCTATAAATACTTAATTCCTGACTCAAAATTTTACATGCAAACTCAGTATTTTGCTGAATAACAAATTGAAATATAATGTACTTTCATCATGACTGTGGCTAAAAAATTATTTATTAGAAAATAAAACTATTTAAAAATAATACTGAGGAAAGAAAAACAATTTTAGATAGTATTTTCAATTGCATAACAAAAATAAAACTACAGAATTGATTTATACAAAATTCCTGAATTTATTTACACTGTTTAAGGCAAGTACATTATGTCACTTTATTGAAATGACCTAAAAGGAACTGAAATGTACTTTTCAGTCTCTATGTAATTTAGTGTAAGTAGATAGTTACTTCATATCTCATTACACCAACACTGATCGTCATCTTCCTCCAAACATCTGAATCAAACACTGCTTTTCTCATTGGACTGAATGATTTGTGCTTTCGGCTGCTCTGTGGTGCAGTGGGTAGAATGTTCACCTCACAGCAAGAAGGTCGCTGGTTTGAGTCCCAACTGGGTCAGTTGGTGTTTCCATGTGGAGTTTGCATGTTCTCCCCGTGTTGGTGTGGGTTTCCTCCTGGTGCTCCGGTTTCCCCCACAGTCCAAACACATGCACTATAGGGGAACTGATCAACTACACTGGCCGTGGTGTATGAGTGTGTTTGTGAATGAGTGTGTGTGGGTGTTTCCTTGCTGGAAGGGTATCCGCTGCTTAAAACATATGCTGAATGAGTTGGCGGTTCATTCCTCTGTGGCGACCCCAGATTTATAAAGGGACTAAGCTGAAAAGAAAATGAATGAATGGTGTGTGTTTTCATAACTGTCCAAAGCGCAGAGGCAGACACCTCGTGTGTTTTTTATTATGACTGAGTTCTGTGTTTGTGTGTTTTTAGGCGCGTAATAAACAGAATGGCGAATTGGCCGCCATAAAGATCATCAAAATGGAGCCTGGTAAGAGTGTCTCATTATGTATCGCACATAATTATAGCGTCAAAACAATCAAGTAAAACACTTCCATTCTGTGTGTGTGTGTGTGTTTGTGTGTGTGTGTGGTTTACAGAGGATGATTTCTCCATCATCCAGCAAGAGATTGTGATGGTGAAGAGCTGTACGCACAGAAACATCGTGGCATATTACGGCAGCTACATCAGGTGACAAAACTGAGGACAAAACTCCCACATGAAAAATACTACAGTAGTTTACAGTAGAGCGTTTTTGAACCATGATATAGCACAGCACCGCAAACTAATTCATGAACTCTGTTGTGGAGATTCTACAGTTGCTATGGCAACTCGACAGCTATAGTAATTGATCTGTTGTAATGATACTATAGTTGCCATGGTAACAACAACTACAGTAATTGATCTGTTGTGGTGATTCTACAGTTGCTATGGTAACTCGACAACTACAGTAATAAAAAGAATTGTTGTACATAATAATGCAGTATAATATATTTTACTATGCTCTGAGTTGCTGTAGTAGATTGTTCATGTGGGACTGAAGCAGTATTGTTCATTATAACATTTTTTGTCCATCTAAAGTATCCCTACCACAAACAAACACACACACACACACACACACACACACACACACACTAACAAAATCACAATTACAAATTATACAACCATCAATATTTTTATGAAACTTCCCATGTTAGCCATTAAAAGCAGTCAGTTGTGATGGTTTACTGTGTTTTGCTGAGATATTTGATTAGGATGTATCTGTGGTAAATTGACACTGATTAGAAGGTTTAAAAACACCAGCAGAGACTCAAATGAGAACTAAAGCCATTGTCATTATAGACGTTAAAACCCTTACAGAGTGTGTGCTTGTCTCAGTAGTGGAGTTTTCCACAGGGCTGTTTGAGTGTGATGATGATGATGATGATGATGATGTTGTGCTGCAGGATGAATAAACTGTGGATCTGCATGGAGTACTGCGGTGGAGGCTCTCTGCAGGACATTTACCACGGTAAAGCAGCAGTGTCTCACATCGATGGCTTTTCTCTCTCAGTTTCCTGTTTTTAATGGCATAAAAATATCTGTGACCTTTCAGAGCCGCGGCTGGTGTGT